AAGTAGGCAGAGAGGCAGGCAGAGAGAAAGGAGGGAGCAGGCTCCCTGCTGAGCAGAGAGCCCAATGTGGGGCTCGATCCCAGGACCCTGAGATCATGACCTGAGCCAAAGGCAGAGGCTTCAACCCACTGAGCCACCCAGGCACCCTAAGCAAGTAGATCTTAAGCATTCTCACCACACACACCCACACACACCCACACACAAATGGTAACTATGCAAGTTGAGGGGTGTGTTCATCAACTTGATGGTGGTAATCATTTCACAATGTGTGTGCATATCATAATCATCACATTGTACACGTTGTCAATTATACCTTAATAAAGCTGAAAAAAGTGAACTGAAAAGAGAGAAATATCTAAAGCTTAATGTGGGATAAGACAGAAAACATAGCTACCTGAGTTGATAGTCAAGAATTACAGACGCCGAAAGAGCTAACCATCCATGAGAATGACAGAGTCCAGGTACCAGCAAACTGTCAGTCTCCCTTGTATTGAATGACCTTTGCTAAATCCAAGGAAAGGGTTTTCTGAGTTAAAAAGAGGAATAAAGGGTTGCCTGGGTGGCTCAGTCGGTTAAGCATCTACCTTCAGCTCAGGTTGTGATCCTGAGGTTCTGGGATTGAGTCCTGCTTTGGGCTCCCTGCTATCTCTCTCTCTGCTTCTCTCTCTCTCTGTCCCCCATAAATAAATAAATAAAATCTTAAAAAAATAACAGAAAGAGGAATAAGACAGAAGGGGGCCAAAGCATAAGATTTTGATAAATCAGAAGGGTATAGGTCTAAGGGTCCGGAGAATGGGAAGAGAATAAGCTGACCCAGAGGCAGCGGAGAAACGTTTTGCATCCTAGAGTTGCGCAGAATTGAGAGTCATCCCAGCGTGAGACTTCCGTAAACACCCACCATAGCCCCCAGCTTGGGTCACTCCATCCTATTTCTCTCTGCATTAGCTAACAGTTTGCACCGTAGGTACTTGGTAATTGTCTGGCCCTTCAACTGGCTTACATCTTCCATGAAAATAGGGACCACAACTCTTTAGCTGATCGTTGTAGATCCACTGGCCTTCTATTGTGCCAGCCATTACATATTTGTTGAATGAATGAATGAATGAATGGGGCAAATTTGACATTTTGGAGAAGCAGCAGAGAACAATAAGGAATGTGGCTACAGAGACACTGGACCCGAGAGGAAGATGAGCATCACGGAGGTGTGATAGCTTGCTGGCAATGGGACAGCTATTGTGGACCACACGGTGTGCTAAGAATGGGCAAGGTCTTTCTGGTAGATGGTATATGGTAGAGTCCCCTGAGAGGCTGGAGCCACAGGTTGAAGAGATCACCTACATGTCACAACATAGTATTTAACGAGGAAAAAAGTGTGGTTCTGTGTCTTGGTTTTATTTATTTATTTATAAAAGATTTTATTTATTTATTTAGCAGAGAGAGAGAGAGATCACAAGTAGGCAGAAAGGCAGGTGGAGGGGGAAGCAGGCTCCCTGCTGAGCAGAGATTCCCAATGTGGGGCTCCATCCCAGGACCCTGAGACCATGACCTGAGCTGAAGGCAGAGGCTTAACCCACTGAGCCACCCAGGCGTCCCACATGCCTTGCTTTTAAAAAAGTCAGTGTTGCTCACGTAATCTGGAAAGACTTGGTTTAACCTAATAACACAAGTAAAAAAAAAAAAAAAAAGATGGACTTTGAGAACTTGGTAAGCAATAAGCAAAAAATGAGTGACAGATGGGATTCAACCACCACAATTCAGTCAAGGTAGATAGGCTACTTTCATAGGGTCTGAAATTCTCAGTGATGAAAGTGACAGGCTTGAGTTGCTCTGGGCTGTCAGATTGTTGTATAACCTTTCTTTCTGAGTGCTACATTTTAATAAGTAGGGAGTTAACCTTGAACATACTCAGAAGAGAGGCCTTCAGGATGATAAAGATGCTCAAAAGTAAGTTTTATGTGAGGAACCGTTAAGGACCTGGGGCAATTTTGCTTGGAGACAGAAAGACTTCAGAGAGGCATGAGGGCTCTCTTTCAGTTACCTGAAGGGCTGTCAAGGGGAAGAGGCTTTAGTCTAGTTCTGAACGACCTTGAGGGTAGAATGGAGACTAATAGGCAGGAGCTACAAGCAGAGAGATTTCCACTCAATACAAGTGAGAACTTTGGGCTCCTGGTGTGGGGTGGGGAGATCTGTCTCAGCCCTCAGGGAGCGCCTGGTCCCTGTGGGCGCTCGGGTCTGCAAGCAACCTGACTTCCAAACTCTCTGCTAACACTGAGCTCCTGTGATCAACCAGCCTTTCGACATCCACATTCCTTATAAGAAATGAGATGAGTGCTTGGGATGGGCTGTTTTACAAATATGAGGTGTTGTTACTGCGTTTTCATCGTCCTGGAGGACTTCGATTCTCTTACAATTGCCATCTTTTCTCTTTATCTTCATGAAGATTTCTAACTTATTGATGCCCAATTTAATATTATTATGACTACTATTCTCTGTCTAGGAATTCAAATTTTCAAATGCCTCATGAATAATAAATGGTTCTTCATTTTATATTCATGTGGGAAAGGCTCTTATTTAGTGTGCTAATCAGGGTTCTCATCCTATGGTGTAAAAGGTCAGAGTAGCTAAGCTCTTTCTTTCAAATTATTATTTTTAGTTTTTAAATGTATTAAGTCATTTTAAGTATTCTCTACACTCGATGTGGGGCTCAAACTCATGACCCCAAGGTCAAGTGTAGCTCGATCCACTGACTGAGCCAGGCAGGCAGCCCTGAGAGTAACTAAGTTCTTACAGATTACCTTATGGGCAGAACTCATTAAAATCAGTAACATCCTTATAAAAGAAAAATCTTTTTAACAAGAAAGTCTCCAAATTAAGAAGCAATAAATAAGCACGCACATTAATAAACAAACCTCGGAGTTCTACTCTGAGAGAATCTGACTTCTTCTGTCTTTTATCAGAGACCTCTGGTGGCTTGTCAACTCACAGGCAATGAGAAATCAAGAATTTGATCAATGACAAATTGATAGACAAGTTATCTGGTGGCACAGCCAACTTGTCACAAGATATTATGACTTAGAAACACTAATTACCAGATTAACAAAAGCTCTAATTTTATTTTGGGTCTTCAAAATATTTCCTCCAGTATAATAATAAATTCCAGTATATATATATATATGCACATATATATATGTATATATATATATATGTATATGTACATATATATATAAAATAAATTCCAGTATCATCTCTAACAAGTAACTACTTGATGATTTTTGAAATATCATTCCTTTTCCTTGTCCTCCTCTCTTTGTGGGACTTGACAAAGAGTGACCTAGGCGAAGGCAAGGTGAGAGAAGAAAACTAGCAGAACCAGAAACAGAGTGAACTGGTCACACAGAGCCTTCCAAAAAGCAGTTAATTAACTAAGTTGCAAAGCAACCCCCAAACTTCTGGTTTACGTATTTTATTCTCCCATTGACTTAAATCAGAGCAGAAAAGGGATTTGGAGGCTGGGATTTATACCAGGCAAAAAAGAGAAGGTAAACTCTGTTTTTGTTTTTGTTTTTTTGTACAGATTACCTAACTTTATTTAATGTCCTGTCACTTGATATTTTTGTTTCACTAATATTTAGGCATCGCAAGCAATGTGGGAAACAACATCTTTGTCTCTCTGTCTCTGGTATAATTATTTCCTCAGGATAAAGTCCTAGAATGGAATTGCAAGGTCTAAGAGATGATGAGCATTTGGAAGGCTTTACGCTATCGTCTTTAAGGTGAATCTGTTATATTTTGCTTCTAAACAAAATCCTCTGTGTCACTCCCACGTTTGGCACATGTGAAGATGGCCAGGATGCCCCAGTCAACACTCCTGCCCAGTCCATCCACCTTCAGTTAGGTAAGCAGCTGTGGCTTGACCTGGAATTCAAATATTCTCTAGGCACACATGGGCAATCTGGAACATCCTTTTCTTGAGGGATATTTTCACTGGAGATCCAGATGGGGGCAATCACATCTCAATCCCATACAGGAGAAATACGAAGAATTTCTGACACACTTTTCTTTTGATGCCAGGTATCATTGGAAGGAGACAGATGTTTAAAAGAAGCTTTTAGTTTATTAGTCCGCATTCAGTCTAATACTTTTTGTGTGTTTAGGTTCTGTGAGTGAGGTTTAACTTCTTTTTTTTAATTTATTTATCTGACAGAAATCACAAGTAGGCAGAGAGACAGGCAGAGAGAGAGGAGGAAGCAGGCTCCCCACTGAGCAGAGAGCCCGATGTGGGGCTCGATCCCAGGACCCCGGAATCATGACCTGAGCTGAAGGCAGAGGCTTTAACCCACTGAGCCACCCAGGCGCCCCGTGAGGTTTAACTTCTAATGTAGGTTACACTTCTTCACATGAAGCTGATGCCTGTAAAGAAAAATCTACTCTATACTTTTTTTAAAAATTTTATTATTTATTTGACAGACAGAGATCACAAGTAGGCAGAGAGTACTCTATACTTTTATATATTGTGGCCACAACTCTCTCATCGTGGGTACTCAGCAAACCTGTATAAGTTTCAAGTCAGGAGGAGGCAGGAATAAATGGGGTCACAGATCATCGGCTCACCTCTCAAAGCACACTTGCGGCACTCCCCAGTCCATCTTTGTGGAAAGCCTGCTTACAAAAGTAAGAAAGGGGCCTGTCTTCGGTGAACCACTGTATTGTATGGTTTGTCTCCTATTAATCTAAGCAGGAAGGACAAGCTCTGAATTGAACACTCAGACATCAGCAGACCTAAAGCGGGCTTACTAGTGTTTGATAAGTGTTCAGGACTTTTCAGTATTAAGGAGGAGAAAATGCAAGGTCACCATATTCGGCAACCATCCGGTTGCACTGAAGCAGACACAAGTAAAATAAATAAAGATTTGTTTTCTCCCCTAAGAGCAGAGGATAGATCTTTGAGGAGCACAGGCTTCAGCTGTAAGCCCTCTCTGTTCCCCGAGGCTCGGACGTACCTTGATTCCCATAGCTGCTGTCTATCCCAGAGCTGTCCCACGAGTCCACCGCACTGTCCACACTGGGCACAGTGGACGGGTATGTGTCGGTAAGCTTGCCTGGCTTCTGTCCTGGAGAGGGGTCCTCCTCCACATCTCCCAGGTCACTCAGGTGGCTAGCCATGGGGAATTTCTTGGGACTGGATGCTGATTGGGCTGCAAAGACAGAGAAGGAGTTTAAGTCTGAGGGTAAATGTCAATAAGAAGATATTCTAATACTCCCTCTGGAGAGTCATCTTCCCTAGAAAGATACAGAGGGATAGAAATGCACTGAAAATCCATAACTGTGGCTCTCGACCCACTCACCATCTGTCTGTTTCTTAATTTTCAAGGTGACAGTCTCTCCTGCCATCTGTAACAAATGGATGGCTTCACTCAGAGGCTTTCCTTTCAAGCTGCTGCTGTTGATAGCCAGGATTCGGTCTCCTATGTGGATGGCGCCAGTTCTGAAACACCAAATAATAATAGGAAAGGTAGAAAAATCCCTGTGTGCCACTGAATAGAAATCCCCTGCCATACTTTATATATTCATGATAATAAAGTCTTGGCAAGGGTCTCTAGAAGCCACTTTTTGCTTTCTCCTGGGCAATGTTACAAGATAACGGCATCTTTTGTGAATAACTTTTTAGTTTCAAATAAAATTAGAAAAATTGTTTTAATTAGGGTGTAAAATGGACTTGCCGTGCTTTTTGAATTCTAAGAAAGCAGAGGCATTTGGTAACCCTCTTAAAAATCCCAAGGAAACGGTGCCTGGGTGGCTCAGTGGGTTAAAGCCTCTGCCTTTGGCTCAGGTCATGGTCCCAGGGTCCTGGGATCCAGCCCCGCATCAGGCTCTCTGCTCAGCAGGGAGCCTGCTTCCCCTTCTCTCTCTGCCTGCCTCTCTGCCTACTTGTGATCTCTGTCAAATAAATACATAATTAAATAAATAAATCTTAAAAAAAAATCCCAAGGAAATAAACAATGCTGGACAGTAAATGCAGTGATACTTGGGATGGAGCATTGCTTCTTGCACAGATTTAACTGTAAATTACAGGTTGAACACAACCGTGACCCTAGCTCACTAGAAGTGAGGCTCAGAGAGATGGGGACCTCCCTCAGACCCTGGTGTGGCAGGGTTCCTCTGTCGGTCATTCTAAGGATTGAAAAGGCTCAGAGAATCAATTCGTGCTACGTTTGAATCCAACTCTGCCACTCTTGGGTCGAGTGACCCGGATTTCTTATTTTAACCTCTCTGGGTATCACTTCCCTCGTCACTATAATGGGGCAATCACCTCTCAGGGGGGCCTTGAGGATTAAATAGGAAAACATATGTAAAGGGCTTGGCCCACTGCTTGAAATGTGGAAAAAGAAAATTTCTTGATCAATGAACTAATTGACCTTTGGCCTTTTCTCTTCTCTTTCCATCCTCACCCAATTCTGAGAAGGCAGACTGGAATTTATAGCTCTGCTGTTCACCATACCCATCTTTGGGAGCCCTGAGTGGGACATTCATCCATTCATAAGCATTCAGACTCAGGGATGGTCTAAAAACTCGGATCTCTCCAGCCGGGTCGCAGGCTGTCGAAGGGGAGTCCCAAGCACCAGCCTCTTGTCCTGGCTTAGTGCCCAGGACAGTGAGTGAAGGAATGAGCCCAGCTCACCGGGCTGCCTGTGGCTGAGTACGCTGATAGCAGCTTGCCTCTGGGGTAGTGGCAGCAGCAACTGGGGTAAGAGAGGTGACATGGGGTCACACCGGTTACCAGGGACCACTACCACATCCACCCAAGCACCTACTCTCAAAGAATATATTTTCTTCGGAAAAAAGGGAAAAGATCACTTCATTCATTCATAAAGGATCTCCAGTTTAGAAAACTAGGTTGTAAGCCAGGGAACACCTGACCAGTAGGTTGCTGAACTGGATCAACATGAAACTTTTCTTGTTGTTTCCCTGATAGAGATACCTAGGACGGTCTCCCTAACAGAGGAAGCTAGGAGAGGAGGATATCTGAAGAATACCCCATCATAGGTGTCTCTGTTAATATCACAATATGACTCCCCAACAGGGTAACCCTTTCTCAGCTGCCTTAGTGCCCTCATTCAGCAGATGAAGATCTTGGATGAGCTGATTTCCAGGGGGTCTTGCAGCTCCAAGATTCTGCAGTGCTACAGCTCTGTTTTGCAAACCATTATCTGCGTCAGCATGATGTGTGTGCATTCCTGAGCTAGATTACTGGAGGGAAGGTTTGGAATATGCACCACCATGTGTCTCAGAGAGAAAGGTGATTTAATGGGGTTTGGGGGGTGGGTGTGCATCTTGGCGAAAAGAACAAATGGACATTCTAAATCACATTATGAAGATGGGTCACTGTGCTTTGTCTCCCCAAATCTTTGAAGACAAAGCCTGTGTCATCCCCTTTGGAAAACAAAGCAGCCAAGCCCAGTACCTGTCAGGTAATACAGGCTCAGTAAATGTTTGCTGAATTGAACTGGACAAGCCTTTTAACCTCCCTGAACTTCAGTCTCCTCCTCTCAAAACGGACATGATATAAATCCACCTCCAGTTCACTGTGGTCAAGTGTAGACATTTCCGGAGAGTAATATCAATGTTAAGCCCATGACATCTTTTACCGCCTGTAAGATGCCCCTCGACGTCAAGTTGGAGCTCTGCCTGACAGTTCTCAAGCTCTAGGATCGATCCTTTGTGCAGATGTGAAAAAGTTAATAGGTAACCAAGCAGGGGAGGGGAGCATGTACTCTCTGAAGCTGTGAGGAAGAAAACCCAGCCCAGACCCAGGTAATTGTAGCAGTTTCTTGAAATGTTACCTTTCAGCTAATCCCCCTTTAGTGAGGCTTGAAATGATTATAGGATCAAAGGGCTCTTCAGTTCCTGAAATTGTGATGCCAAGGGGCCCCCCATAGCGCTTGAGCTCCACAGTGTAAATAATGGCTCCAGAACTTTCTTGCTCATCTGCAATAAATGCCAAGGAGTCATAATTGGTTTCTTTGGGGGGAAAAAAAAGCAAAGTAATAAGACACATATACTCATACATAAAATAAACTCAAGACATCATCATTAAAGCATTATGTCTCAGAAATTATTTGGGGAGGTAGATTCTCCTTCGTAAGATATTCATTCTAATACAGGGATGTGGTTGTCATTAGTGTTGGGGGACGGGTCCACTGCCTAATGACCTATGTTTTAAATCAGGGAGTGACCCGCCCAGCTGGACCTCGGGCCCTTTAGCCTGTGTCCATGCCTAGCACAGGGCTTGCCCTGTACTTCCTTAGAGTGTCCTAAATACCTGTGAGAGGAGAGAGTCATGTGGCGACAGAGACTGGGACAACCCATTTCTATTTCCAGCCCTTCCCAAGCAAGCTAACTTTCAATACAGAGAAGATCTTACTCAGGGTTGGAGCAAACTTTAACATATCTGTGGTTAAGTGGGGCTTAGAGAAGTTGGCTTGGAAATTTAGAATCCTTTCCACATTATTCCACTGATCGTATCTTAAAACGTCAATTCTGTGGATGAATTCCCAGATACTGAAGTGCAGGTTTTAATGGTTCTCTGTCCTCTCTTCTAGAGAGGAAGAGCCATGTCAAGTACGTTTCAGGAGAACAGACCAGGCTGCTACACGGCCATGAACTGATCTTCCCTGTTTCACACCGCCATAAAGGAAATCGTCTGTTAATACGGTCTGCCTACAGCACTGGGCCGCACCATGTCGTGGGACACCTTCGACACGGCTGGGTGTTTGGACTGTCAGGATTACAAATACGCTGTCTCAGACTTCAAAGTGTTATATTTGCTTATGACATGCTTAAAGTTCTCGAGCATTTCTTGTTTTATTTCTTGAGCCCGGGAGCTGTGAATGGTTAGGGAGCAGTTTCATTTCTGTACCTAAGGATACAATGAAATGGTCCAGTAGCTACTTTAACTAAACAGTCAGCTTTTACAGACAGACTGCATCATAGCTAAAGGTTGACACAGTCACATTTCAGCAATGAGCAGCTGTTCGTTTATGACATGAAACCCTGAAATAAGGAGGAAAAGCAAAGCTTGAGTTAATAATTCAATTATCTGTGTGTACAGTGAACAATTACAAGGAACATAAAATGAAAGGTCTATAGAGTAATGTACAAAGCGATGTGTCCTCTCCTACCAGCATTTACTTCATTTCTGCCACAGAGCAGGCTTTTGGAATGTACTGGTCACTTCCCCTTCCGCAATCCTCTACTTCTAATAAGCTACACACAGAGAATTAAAGACTGTCTACCATACCATACAATGTTTAAATCAACCTCTTAGGATATAAAAATATTCAATATTACACTCAAGTTTATATATACGTATATATATAATTTTTAAAGATTTAATTTATTTATTTATTTGAGAGAGAGAGAGAGAGAGAGAGAGAGAGAGGGAGCGTGCACATGTGGGTGGGGAGGGAGCACAGAGGCCCCAACACAGGGCCCAATCTCAGGACCCTGAGACCATGATGCTAGCTGAAACCAAGAGTCAGATGCCCAACTGACTGAGCCACCCTGGCGCCCCTACACTCAAGTTTCTATTGACAGCTGAGACTCCTCCACATCAAGGTTCAGTAATTCGTTTGATGGTTCGCAAACTCCTTACAGGTTTCTATTTGTGGTGGCCACTCAGGTTGTGATAAGCGGCTATCGAGCTGCTAGGAGAGGCCTGAGGATACAGTGCAGGGTGGAGGCTGGGGAGGCCCAAGGATACGTGCAGTGTGGAGGCTGAGGTCAAAAGTCGAAATTTTTCTACACTATGATCTACCATCACCCTTCAGAGCTGGCTTTGATAGAAGTGGATAGGGTGTTATTAGATCAATTACATGTGCTTTGTAGACTGTGCCTCCTACTATATTCTGGATAAAATCCTAGGTGAGTCCTTTGATTAGTAGACCTTGGCATAGTTAAGTATCGGCTGCCACTGGGCACTCTGCTGGTCATTCAGGGTGGGTGTTTATGCCAGGGGAAAGACCCTGGCCCTTTATTGATCTCCCTTATAGGGCAAACAGGAGGCCTACCCTGTCAGTGGTCACCAAGCATCCTGGGTTTGGCCATCAGCTCTTCATGGGAGTTGTGGAAAGTAACAACTCTCTAGTACCTGGAACCAGCTGCCCAGAACCCAGGAGACTGTGGGAAGTTTCAGTTGCAACTTCTGTCCAGATGAAAATAAACACTGACCTACAGGATGCCAGACCAGGTTCAGTCCTACTCAATGGGAGAACGTGGAGAAACTGGTTCTAATTTGCTCATTCTTTAGGCAACCCAGAGTGCGTGCCCAGGGTTAGTTTTTGACCATTTGGCAATTTGCATCACAAAGATGACACACTAACATCAGAAATGGAGTGAATGGGTTTAAGTTCGTTTCAGGTGGGGACATTTTAAATTAGGCAGCTGAGGCCTCACAGTAACAAGAAGGCAATTCTTAAGGCACTCAATGAGTTTAAATAGTGATGGGGATACAAATAAAAAAAATAAATAAAAATTTTAAAATGGCAGTATTTTAGTGAGGAAGGACACATTCCTGTTACAACATTGTGATGGAAACAGGAAGAAGTGATGCTGTGTTTAAATTATGACAGGGGCCTCTGGGTGGCTCAGTTGGTTAAGCATCTGCCTTTGGCTCAGGTTACGGTCCCAGGGTCCTGGGATGGAGTCCCATGTCAGGGTCTCTGCTCAGTGGGGAGGCTGCTTCTCCCTCTCCCTCTGCCTGCTGCTCTCCCTGCTTGTGCGCTTTTCTTCTCTCTGTCAAATAAATAAATAAAATCTTAAAAAAAATTATGACAGGAATAGAAGCTGATTTCTGATTACTTCAGTAAACAAATGATTAGAACCAAAAATCAGGGAAAATTTAAGGGACATTACAACCAAAAGCAATGAGTAGATCTTTTGGACCCAAATTAAAATCAACTTTATAAAATATCTATCTATCTACCTATCTATCCATCCATCTCTATCCATCTGCTACCTAACTATATATGTATATGAAAATCAGGAAATGGCACGATGAGTAAATATTAGATGATATTAAGAATTATTGATAATATTTTGAACCATGATGATATGGAGTTATGTATTATAGAAATCCTTTTAAAAAGTAGCATTTAGGGATACAGTAATATTTACAAGATGGAACGATATGTCTGGAATTTCTTCCGTATAATTCGGTGTGGATGCGGTGGGACAGTTAGGCTGGGAACAGAGCTGAAGCAAGATGGATCCTAAGTTAATAACTGTTGAAGCGAGGTGATGTATGATGGCTCCTAACACCATTTTTCTCTACTTTAAAAATATATTTGAAGTTTTCCTAATATAATTTTTTTTTAAGAGAAAACATTGGGGTACCTGGCTGGCTCAGTTGGAGGAGCATGATGTGCCTTTTGATCTCGGGGTCCTGAGTTCAAGCCCTACCTTGAGTGTAGACATTACTCAAACAAATAAACTTTAAAAAATAAAAGATATTAATTCCCTTAGAAAACCCTAGAGGATGCCTTGGGTAAATGGCTTACTTAATTAGCTTGGCTTCCTTTCTTTCATAGATGATGGTGGTGGCTGCGTATACCCAGTCTCATCCAGACCCTCCTGGTCCATCTGCCCACCAGGCAAGGTTCCCAGAGATTCCCACTCTGGAAGAGGCCCCCACCTCGGCTCTGCCCTGTTTTTCACAGCAACAATTTCTTCCTAATTTGTTTTCCTGGTTGGGCCCCAGCCTTTGCCCCTCCTATTTGTACCCCCACCCCCGCCACCCATTTTCACCAGTGCCTGGCAATATACAATTCCTTCTCTTTTCCTCCCAGAATACTTCTAAAGCATAAATCTGAAGAGCTTACTCTCTTACTTGAAGCTTTTCAGTAGTTCCCAATTTTTTAAGAATAAAATACAGCCTCTTTGCATGAGCTGAGCTGGAGCCTCTGTGTCTCCAGAGGGCCAGGCCGTCCTCTCTCCCGCAGTCCAATCTCCTACCTTCTCTCCTTACTGAACCGCTGCAGTCCCTTAAAAAGCACTTTTCTCACATGGCTAGCCTCGCATGCGTTACTCCCTATGCACAAATATCTTTCTCCTGCGTATTCTTCCAGTGTTCTCAACTTCTCTTAATTCTTGTTTTTGTTCCCCTCGCCAAGGGGGACAATGAAATGAAACAAAGTCTTGTTCCCCTCGCCAAGGAGGAAAATGAAATGAAACTTAAATTCCCCCTAACAAGAGAAATTAAATATGAAGGGATAGATCCAGTCAGGTAGGGTCAAGCTCTGAAGAGTGACAAACCATCGTCACATAATATCTAGGGTTCTTTTCTTCTGGAGAACCAATCTTTGCCCCACAAGAATGCCTGTTCTAGTGCCTGTTCTAATGGCTGTTCTACTTTTCACTCTATGTTTGAATGATTTCTCTACTTGTCTCCTTCATTCGAACAGGATCGCCTTACAACAGACATTTTCTCTTCACATCCCCAGAACAATGCTGGCACCAAGGAGATTTTGGTAAATGCGTGGATAAATGAGAGAGGGGGTACATGGGGATTGTTAACCTGAGTCACAGTTCCAAGGGAGGAGGTCTCTGAGTTTTGCGAGTCACCCTCCTTGCTCCTCTGAGGTCTGGTTCCCTCCTGCAAGGTGACGCACACCCAATATGGCTCGCTCAAAGACGGACACTCAGACCTGGGCTGCCACTGTGGGAACCAGCTACGCTAAAGTGCTCTTCCTCCACAGGGCCCAGAGCATCTGAGTCAGCTTCAGGCTGCACTTCCAACTCCATCTGCCTTCTCGGGCATTAGCCCAACTGGCAGTGGGAGGGCCTACAGCTTAGGAGGGTGATAACTTCCGTGTATGCTCACACCATTTTGGGGGTGGAAGCCCTCCAAGACCCTCTCCCCCTGAGGCTGCTCCAGCTTAGAAAGGAGCAACTGAGAGTGTTTAACCAGAACAAAAACTTTCTGAGACAGA